GGCCGTGCGAGGGAAAGGGTGACTGGCGGACCCGGCTGTGGCGATCCGAAGTCGCGGATTCGGCACGCCGTGGTTTACCGAACGTAATATGGCGTACAAGTTTCGCGAGGAGATCGTGGGAAAGAGGTTTCTCTCGGTGAGTGGTTTCACCAAGCTGAAGGTGAATAAAATTAGTGAGTGGGGTTGGCGTGCGGGGGTGATACGTGCCGCCAGTCACAGGGATAACGGCTGTCATGACCTTCAGGTGAGTGTCCCGAAAACTTGCTCACGCGTTTTACGCGTTCCCCGTGAAACGAGATCGTCAGGCTCGCGTTCTCGTTTCAGGTGTGTCGTTACCGCGTAGTTTGTACGCGGGTCGATTGTTGGTCACCGCGACCTGGCGTCGCGCGCGCGACGCCTCGCGACGCCTCGCGTCGCGCCGCGCCGTACCGTTTATGTTTACATCGCGGCGTGGTGTGACCCTTTGGTGCGAATACTCCGAGTCTATTGATTGGAGTACAGAGTCTTGTATAAAGCAAAACCTTATGCGCGAGAAAATGAACTAATCAAAGTTTTCGAAATAAAAGACTGATTGATTTTCGTATACATACAATTTTCCTACAATAAACCGTTACTTAGGCTTTAAATCTTGAACCGTAAGAAATTGATCAGTCACAGTCGAATCTGAGAAGAATAATCGACTGTGATTGGTCAATTTCTTATGACTTATAAAACTGAAAACTTAGATAATAACTTATTGATAGAAAGCTCATTATGCTAATTACCTAAGCTTTAAGTTTAGCTTAAGTTTTAAGTCATAAGAAATTGATCAATCATGGTCAATTATTCTTCTCATATTCGACTAGGATATTGGTCAGTTTCTTACGACTTTAGACTTGAAACTTATTGTTAGATAATGGCTTATTATAGAAAGCCCATTATGCATTATAGGCTTTCTACAATAAGTCATTACCTAAGCTTTAAGTCTTAAGCTATAAGAAATTGATCAATCATAATCGATTATTCTTCTCGCATTTGACTATGATTGGTTAATGTCTTATAATTTAAGACTTAAAACTTAGGTAATAGAGCTTATTGTAGAAAGCCCATAATGCGTTTCGCAAAAATGAGCTTCTTATATTTCTCTAATTTTTGATGATCGTTAAATTCCATTTCGAGTCGCTGAAAATCGGGATCCTCGCCTGTTTCGGTAAAGTCACTTTCAATAGCAACATGTTGTTACAGAGAATGAAAATCGTCTCATCATTCTTCGCCAGGTTCGATATTACAACCATAAATATTAGGAAATCGTAATTTATTGTTAGACACCGCGGTTGCGGTGCGCGTAGAAATCATTTCCGCGAGACGTAGACTTTCATCGAAGTCACGCCACATTTTTATTAATGTTTTACGCCTATTGAACTACTTGCCATATTTACAATTATATTTCGTTTGCATTGTTTGGTCAGAACAATAATTGAAATTGCAAAATGTTTTTGTAATGTTTTTGTAATGCCGGATTATATAGTTGCTCTTTCGAAAACGCTGCAACATACTGCATTATTTGGAATAAAATCATCGTTACCAGCGATTTGTAGTCGTGGATATTATTCGATACGCAAAATGTGAATCATTAATCATAATGTATGTAAAATATAAAACGATGTTAGTTAAGCAATTTCGAATTTTATGGAAAGATTGGAATGGAATGACGATCGATCGTACGCATATGCGTTTCTGAAAAAACTTATAACTGGTTTATAAATATTTGCGAACAATATTGAAAACTTGTGTTACGTTTCAGCACGAGACGGATACTTGATTTATACGAGACAAATTAAATAAAGCAGTCGGAGGTTCTCCGAAATTTACATACGTATCTTTTTAATGCAGAAATTACGCGAATCTTTGCCTTTTCGAAAGACATTCGTCGAAGGTTACATATTTGAATGGCAAATGTTTTACACTCGCGAATATTCGTTCGAATTTTAACAAGTACGATAAACTCGACATGTTCCTAACTTTTCTTTATTAATATTTTTATTATCAATAGAATTTATATTATCATGAATTGCATATTATTATTTAATCACGTATTATCATAAATATATCTATTTTGACGTACGTCAAACGTGAATTGTAATTACACTTTATTATATAACCTTAGCCATAAATATAAAACACTCTCAATTTATTACATTTTCTTGGAATGAAAGTTAAAGAGAAAATAAGAATATTAAAATTGTTATAACAATAAATATTTCAATAAATCTGTTTTTAAATTATTTTTAGTTAGATATAGAACGTTTATGTAAATGTGTGGGGGTGCTTTATACTTATGGTCAAGATCTGTAATTCGGGTGGGTAATGAAAATAATTATATTATATACAGATTATTATATTTGCGTTCCATATTTATGGTACTAGTTTACAAGTATTGAAAATTAATGATTATACCTATATTTGACTTTATGATTATATATTCGAGGTCGGTTTTATTTTGAATTGAAATATTCGCAAACATTTCAATCTTATAAGTCGTAAGTCAATGTCATTTTAAAAATTAAAACATTTCTTCATCATAAAAATCGTTGAAGCGTTGCAACGTGCAGATTACATCGTATTTTTAAATATTGATCCAAATTTTAATATTTCTTGAATAAAACGGTACATACATATTCATAGAATTATATTATTATAATATAATTCTATGATATATATATATATATTATACGTGAATATGTTAGGAATTATATTAATTGTTCGTAATTGTCCGCGACAATCATGAACAATTAATATAATTACATACTTAAGCTTATCTGTCAAGTGTTTTTCTTTTCCTTTCAAGTCAAGTCATAACTATTTCAGTTTTCGAGGACATTGCCAGCTTACATACCAACGTTGTTTGTACACGCACAAATACACATTCGACGGCACTCGGTGTACATGTTTCGTGTTACTTGGCTGGTGATATTTGCCAATTATACCACGTGGCCCAAGACCGCGATTATTACACCGGTCGAGCGTAAAATCTCGGAAAATCTCAATCTCAGCGGTCGATTTTTGCATTCGTTTCGTGACGTCAAAAGTTGTAATACTTGTTTTCGAATCAAGTAAATTGTCTTCGAAAAATCGTCGTCACGGCTTCGTTACGCAACGGATTGAATTTCGGAGCATTCGGACACACACGTGCGCGAAATTAATTCGGAGAGGCAATACTTATCTCTTATGTAATAAAAGAAGCAGTTGTCCTCGGGTATCACTTATTGGCCAATAAAACTGTCATCTAGATGACGATAATGATATTAGCTCACCTACGTATTATTATCTTAATTAACGTCGTAATTATTGAGAGGTTTTCAAAAGAACGTTGCGAATTTCGGATGTAATATTTTGATAAAGGAACGTTATTACGGTGAGAATATTAATATTTATTATGAGAGAAATATAACAATATGTTATGCATTTATGTGGGAATATATTATCTAATTACATGTTGATAAAAAATTTCTTTGTATTAATATATCATAAAATATTATATTAATATAGTAAAGAACAAAAAATTTAATCTTTTTATATTCTTCCATTATATCACTTCAAATCGAATCTTATTTTGAATTATGCATTATATGCAATACAAATTTGATCATCATTTGATAATGCAGATGATTCATTAACGATATATTTAACAACAAGCGTGTATTTATATTTTACATTTCGCGTTAATGATTTTTCCACAAATCAAAAATAAAGCTAATGATATGCACATTTGATGAGTTTTGAATATATAAGAATGTTTGCTATATCATAAAAATACCATCTGTTTATAACAATACTATTTCATTAGTATTACTAAAATATTTTAAATTCCAAAAGTAATTTTTTGAAAAATTTAAAACAATGATAAATCTTGATTAACATATTAAATAATATTTCACGTAACAAGTATTTATCAATTGCTGTTAATTCTTGAGTTATATGCTAGAATTGTTTAGGTGATCCCACGGTTTAAACATTTTTTAAATAAATCACGTCATTCATCCAATCCATTATCGAATCCATCGTCTTCATAGCAATCCGTTTTATTAAGATTACTAAAATATTTTAAATTCCAAAAATAATTTCGAAAAATTTAACATCTTGATATTAATATATTAAATAATATTCCACTTAACTATCATTTATCAATTGCTGTTAACTCTTGAATTATATGCTAGGATTATTTATTAGGTTATCCTACAGTTTAAGCATTTCTTTTTATAAATTACGTCATTCATCCAATTCAATACTAACTGTCAGTCGCGATGCAGTCGATCGATCTCCGACTCGGAGTTAATAATACCCGTACTTATTCGTGGCACTCATTAACAGTTTGCCCGGTTTCAACTATCCCTAATGGCCCTCGCGGCGTCTGCGAATTTATCGCGGCGCCAAGAAGCATCCGGACGCCTCCCGGAGTGAATTTAGTTGACATCTGTTTAGTATTTGACGCTTTTAAAGGGTCAACGACTACAAACGCCATTAGGTATTCCGGGGTCATCACTGCCGTTCAGGCGGCTTTCCGTTTTCCGGTTTTCCAGTTTCGAAAAATGCTATTGCACTTCTCGACTTGTGACAAATGTATCGACGAACTTGGCCAATAAGAACTCCTGGCTCTTTGTCGAAAGTGAAAATTTTTAGGCCATCGTTTTAAATTCTGGCAAATAATAATCCTAGGGCGCGAGATATTCGAAATAAGGAAAATTGTTTCTTCTGATCCAAGATACAAGAAAGGATAAGATAAAACTATTGTCTTTATATCTCTCTTTCTTTTCTCACTACGCATGTCGATAGTGTCGGCGATAAAGAGAAGAACCTTGAAGTATTGACAAGTCGTTGAAATATCGAACGCGGAGAAAATAGATGTTTTATCGATAAGGGCGTGCTCGGGTATGAAACTCGCGTGCTCGTCACCTTGAAATTTCTCTACGCTAACTTTAGATGTGAAATGATGCATAACTTAACAATACACTATAAATCGCAGACTGAGGTGACAATGAAATGTGAGACATATTATATATTAATCACATAAAAATTGTATTTAATTTTAGTTTATTTCAATGTTATTAAAAATCATGTCTTAAGAAAGTTATGCATTTTAAATAATTAAATTTTTGATTTAATTTTAAGATTTTTTTCTCACATTAAGAAAGCAAAACATTCTTCGAAAACTTCGCAGAAACCACGCACGGAAAGAACGATTTTGTTGAAGTATCTAAAATTTAG